TGAAAAATTTCCATAGTATTTATAGGAACTTCTGTAGAATTTAAGTATCGTTGCATTTTTATATAATTTATTAACGATTGCGATATGTATAATGGCACACAGAATAAGTTATCATTTGAATGGCGCGTTGCTTTGGCGTGCTTCTCGATGACGGGCGTGAGTCAACTATGGATGTTCACGTACAGTTGCGATTGCATAACAACAGAAAGCCTGAACATCGCTGAATCTGTATACGCTGGACCATGGATAAATTTACCAATGGATAAATTTGGAAAACTGCTAAGAAAAGATCTACAAGTGCTCATCTTGAGGGCGAGACGACCTTCCTCTTTGACTGCCTGTGGATTCTTTTCTATATCTCTCGAAACCTTTACTAAGGTATTTAAATACTATAGTAATTGAAAATAAATAGTTTTAAATTTCTGAAAACTTGCAAATTTTCAAACGCTAAGGTTTCTTATTAATAAAAGTGTTTACATTACTGAAGCTTCAAGAATTTTGAAATATCAAGGTACCTTATTAATAAAAATTTTCGCTCATTATTCATAATCTCAAGAAATTAACTTCTATTTTTGATTGACTTCAATCTATTTTTGATAGGGATTAATTGAAGATTAGTATAGTATAATAATTAGAAGATTAATTGGCTCATAAAAATTCATTATTTAAATTCAGAATGTTAGAATTATACAAAAAGTTAATTTTTTAGTTTGAAATCTTCGGATTAAATTTGCCATTTATTTAATTAATTGAAATATTTTCTTATTGTTGTGCTCTCTATGTTACAGATCATGAGTACATCAATGTCGTATTTCACATTATTAAAACAATGTATCGAGGACACGGTTAATTCGTAATTCCTCTATTTTCATATATACACTGCATGTAAATTTAAAAGAAAGTGTGTTGTACGTTGTATCTAAACATTATATAAAAACAATAGGTTATCAATAATAAATAATATTATTGAGGTTTAATACTATCTTCTCATCTACCTAAAAACGTAATGTTAATTCATAATTCGTAATATTGATTTTTTTGATTCTATAATTTTGTATTGTTATGTACAATTCTTACCTATTCTTATTCTTCCATTCGGAGGTAATAAAAAATTTAGGCCATATCAAGCCAGAAGTGTTGCTTTCTGTATATAACCTATGTTTAAGAACGAATGTTATACCCACAACGTGGAAAACAGCGAATTTAATGATAATACCTAAAACACTAGACGGGGATAAGCAACAGCTGAGCGCTTATAGGCCTATCGCGCTTTTGCCGGTTACAAGCAAAATCTTTGAGAGAATTTTGGATGACAGAATTCAGGTTAGTTGCATTGAACAAAATTTAACGAGCGAAGAACAGTATGGTTTTAAAAAAGGTTTTGGCACTGAGGATGTTTTTTTTAAATTTAAAGAGGAAATAGCTTTCACAAATAAAAAGTATGTTCTTGCCCTGTTTGTGGACACACTGGGTGCTTTTGACCACCTTGGTGGCCGGAGATTAAAGCGTGGCTGGTTCAATCCAATTGCAGTTCAACTCTAGTTAATTTAGTTTGCACTTACTTCAGGAAACGAAAAATAATAATCACAACAAAACACGGAAAGATTAGTCATCGGGTGCAAAGAGGGTCCATTCTTGGACCAGCCGCCTGGAACTGGTGCTTGGAGCAATTTCTGGGGCAAATATCTAATATCGTAGATACAGATAATGTTCAGGACTTAGCATATGCTGATGACATTCTCTTTGTCATCAAGGGAAATTCCAGAGTAGAGCTTGAATGGCAAGGGAGCATTGTCATGACGATGCTGCAGGATTGGTGCCACGAGAATAAGCTGGCTGTCTCAAAGAAGAAAACAGTGGCGGTTTTTCTCAGGGGTAAAATAGACGTTAGGAGACCATCATCAATTAAGATCAACCAAAATACGGTTAGACATACACACGAATACAAATATCTTGGAATAACTATAGACTCAAAATTAAATTTCATATCACATGTAAAAAGATTGAGCGAAAAATTGAGCATAAGTTAAATAACATAAATGGAAGTAGGGGGTCCGCCTCCACGAGGAAGGCACGTTAACGTCGGGTGCAAACTCCATGGCGACGTGACCCAATGTATATTTTTAACATGAGTAATAACATAACGACGAATGTTTCTCTACTAACATGTTAATAAGAATTGGATTGCTATCCAACAAAAATTGAAACATGCAAATTCACCTCACATATATCAACAAGGCCATTCACAGATTTTACACAATCCCACAGTAACAATCCAATCTTCCCCAAGTGAAACATTCTCCCTCCATAAAATATCAAAAAATACCCCACTTCGTTTTACAGTCCAATCTTTCAATTTCTCACTGTGTTACGTTCAAATGTCGACCACGTATTAACCTCGCGGAGGGTCCCACAATTCTTTTCCCTGAATCATGCATACCCCATCGATCACGTAAATGACCTGCATTATGAACATCGGCAATTGCACGGTCGCTTATCCATTGTAATAACTTTTTCTCCGGCACAAATGTACGCGCAAGTATCACTAACGATAAGTATAACATATAGAACGGAGAAATAAAGGATGCGGCGGAAGATCAAAGGCATGCAACGACGTTCGATCGTTTCTCGGATTGATAGGTTCTACAATACCTTTCTTGAAATTTCAAATTGTTCCGTCAGATCACTTCGCATGTTTTAGTATGAGCTTGAAATATCGTCAAGACGTTTCCTTTAGATTAGCCAACTTTTTTCTGTATGTTGTCGGCTTCTGGTTCGCCGCTAATCGTATAGAGGAATGGTTCAGAAACGCTGCGATTCTGTATACCATTGTCACGGTCTTCTTTGTCATGTGGCTTCAGCTGAGAGGGCTTTATTTCTCCTGGGGAAACTTTGAAGTAAGTGAGTTGTCGTTGACGTTTCGTCGTGCGTTCATTTGTTAGGATAGGATAATAATGAGTTAGGTTTAAGGTTCATATTTTTGGATGAACAGTTTTTATGCAGTGTTTTTTTTTAGAATCTTGTTTCGGTAGTTTTTGATTACCGTTTTGTTGAAATGAGATGGAATTGTTCGTGAGTGTTGTTAGTAAAGTGTGAATGTCAAATGAAGTATTTCCTAATATGCAAATGGAATGTGTGAAATATGAGAATATTTGATAAATATTTTTTAAGCACAGTGTTTTTTTTTTGACAATTACGTTTTGTTAGATTCTGATTATTATACATATTTTTCATATTTTTCATTTATCTAATTATATTATCATATTTAAAATATGTGAAATATGAAAATATAATTTGTGAACATATGCAAGAAAAATGTGGGATTTGTAATAAATATATTAAAAATATCGAATATTGAAAATATGCCATAATAATGGTACCTGTATTATTTAGACATCGCAATTATAATTTAAATTACAATAAAATATATGCATTTTTTTCTATATTAGCTGTGAAATTAAAATTGATTGATAAGCAGAAAATGTATGATATATGTTATAGTAATACGACAAACTTTTTCATATGTTCTTAAAGAGCAAATTATACGTCTAATTTCTATTTCTTCAGGTTTGCATGTACATGGCATGCAACAGTATAGCCCTGGTTTTGGATATAATCAAGATTTTCGTCCTAGTCGTACGGAAGAAAAAGTTTCTCGGTCTGATTGAGTACATGCAGAAGAATTTCTTTCATTTGAACTACGATCAGGACGAGAATTCTATTATCGCACACGCGAAACGAACGTGCATCTACTTCGTCTGCGTCTTTTCATTTTGTTCTCAATCTACAGTTTTTTCCTATATAATAAGGCCATTTGTATGTAAGTCTCAAGTGAAATATTAATATTTAAATGACAATCTTTGTATTGCTTTTCTAGCATTTTGTTAAACATTCTCGAAGTCTTCTGTAGTTGTTAATTAACCATACAAAAAATCATGCTTAATTGAAAAAGATTTAAATAGCAGTAATTTCATGGGAATTTTATTTTAGCAAATCTTGGAAAGAATGAATCTGATAGAGAACATATATACGATATGTGGCTCGATCTACCATTATCCGTAACACCATATTATGAAATTACTTACATAATACAGGTATTACCAATTTTCTCAAGGCAAACTATATTTATATATTAACATTATTATAGACAGAAAAATTTTTAATGCGAATAATAAGAAAGAAGTAAGAACAGTGTAATTTACAGTTGCAAGATAATTTAGCAATATTTTTAAAAATAATTTAAAATAACTTAAAAAGCAAAACTAATTAATTAGTAACCAAATCTAATGACTAAATTCTAAAGATAGGTATACAGTTCTCGTGAAACCTGAAAATATTTATAAATTTCAAATTTAGAAATCACAAATGATTCCAGGTAATAAAAACATTTCTCTCACGCAGGCTTTATCTGTGTACCAAGTTGGAGTGTGTTACCTTTGCTTTGATAACATTTTTTTCATTATGTGTCTACACGTGGCTGGTCAGTTTCGTATACTACAATACAGAATTGCCAATGTGTCAGGTCTAAGCGAGATAGTGAAGAGCAATGATAATACAAGCACGGCTGAATTATACTCAGAGAAATGTTACATCAAGTTTAAGAATTGCATTCAACAACATCAGGCACTAATTGAATTTTGTGAAATACTCGAAGAGGTATTCACGGTAATCGTACTCGGACAAGTACTAATGTTTAGCATAATAATTTGCTTCGCCGGGTATGAAGTACTCCTGGTGAGTATCGAACGCTACAATAAATAATTTATGACAGAAGAAGAATTTTTCATTTAGGAAGAAAAATTCAATTTTCTGTCCATTTAAATATTAATTTTCGTGTCAATTTTAATGTTCACCTTTCTGTCAAATTAAATACTAATTTTTCTGTCAATTTAAACATTAACTTTTCTGTCAATTTAAATATTAACTTTTGGAATAAAACACATATAAATTACGGAGTTTAAGGTATTACAAACGAAGGATCTTTAAACTTGTGGAATTTAATGTTGGCAAGAATATTTTCTATAGAAAAGAAATTCTTTGAAAAATTTCTATGGAATTAATAGGAACTTCTGTAGAATTTAAGTATCGTTTCATTTTTATATAATTTATTAACGATTGCAATATGTATAATGACACATAGATAACGTTACCATTTGAATCGCGCGTTGCTTTCACGTGCTTCTTGATTACGGGCGTGAGTCAACTATGGATGTTCACGTACAGTTGCAATTGCATAACAACAGAAAGCCTGAACATCGCTGAATCTGTGTACGCTGGACCATGGATAAATTTACCAATGGATAAATTTGGAAAACTGCTAAGAAAGGATTTACAAGTGCTCATCTTGAGGGCGAGACGACCTTCCGCTTTGACTGCCTGTGGATTCTTTTCTATAACTCTCGAAACCTTTACTAAGGTATTTATAGAATAAAATTTTTTAAATGACTGAAACCTTACAAATATTTAAATATTAAAGTAATTGATAATAAAAAATTTTTAACTGACTGAAACCGTCCAAATTTTTAAATATTGAAGTAATTGAAAATAAATAGTTTTAAATTTCTGAAAACTTA